CGTCTGTAATTGTTGACTGAGTAAATGCAGTGTAAATCTCCTTTAAAACGATTGACATTGCGTTTCTATTACAGTTTAGAACTATAGGTGGCGTAATTCTACTCACACCAATAGCAACATTAGAGCACTCGCTAACGATCTATAAGAAATGAATAAATGCCCCCAAAATGTAAAATTTAGAAAAAGAGACCAGGAGAACAGATACAAACAATTGTTAGGCCATGTCATCGTTTTAAGCCGCTTATCATTTAGCCTTACGAATTGTAAAAGAGTTCGCACTTTAGGGCTCGTAATGAATAAACTACTTAAGCTTGAAATTTAAGAACTTTTAAAATATTTTGCTAAGAGTAAATTGTCGTAACAAAAATGCATATTCTATAAAAACATTGTGGGGGGGGGGGAATTTTGCGTGTAAATGTTACATAAGAATTATTTTCTAATACAATCGATATATTTTTGACAACTAAGAAAATTACTCTATATTTAAGCATACTACTGAGAATGTTTAAATAAGGCCTATCTCGCCGGGCAGTGATGTTTCTACAGCGTCGCTTCAGGCTTCAATCAGGTGGAATGAAAACACATATGAGACCTTTCTTAAACTAGACAAATTATAAGACATTTCTCTTAGACTTAAGATAAATGTCTTCGTAGGTCATTGAATACGGGTCCAATAATTTTGTTCTCTTGATGATGTTTCAGCAACAAATTAAGAGTTTTGGTGGACATCTTGGATTTCAAATGGCAATAATCCTTGGCACATGTAGTGACAAATATATCTATTATAATAAGGATAATTTATCTTTTATTTTTTAAATAAGGATTGTGGATAAAACAGTTTGAAATCGACTTACACGTCTGGTCGGCAGTATATATTCATTTCCAAAATAGTCAAGATGTCTTATGTATTTACTATGGTAGTTTATCAAACACTATTGCATCAAAGAATAGGGCATGACCCTGCACATCCCTCTTTCTGGAAACGCTACTGATTCCTGTCATGCTTATGTATTTACTGATGACTGGAATGAATTAAGGAAATAGGTCATCAGCAAGACGAATTTGTCCAGATTGCTCCAAAGCATTCTTCAAAGTTCCTTGATCGGTAGAATTCCTTTGACCGCTTCGCCAATCCCGGAGCATTTGAAGAGTTCCATCATCATATTCTGTGTTTTGTGATTAGTTGCTATGTACCCATTAATATCTTCCGGAGTAAATCCAAGTTTTCTTCCTAATGTGTCGATTTCTGATTCCTTGCGGATTCTCTTTGCAACAGCTACCAACATATCGTCAAAATCTTTGGTAGAGGGTAGCAGACGTGGTGACGGGAATTACATGTAATATAAATATATTAATGAAAGTAATTGAAAGTGTAATACTAAGTTCAATTATCTTCCCGGAAGTAATTGGTAAACGATTATCAAGTATGGCAGATATGAGAGCTATGCAAGAATCCACTATTATTAGTAATATCATTACATGAGAAGTGGTGTAAACTTCTCCGGAAAATTACCCCCGAAGATAATCGCCCCCGAGGACTATAACCCCCCGAACAACTGATTTTATTATTACGATCAGGCCGGACTTCCCCTTTAGCGTAAAGGGGGGAGGGGGTGGTAGTTTTTCGGGGGTGATTATCCTTGGTTGTCCTGGGGGCTAGGGGAACTTTAATAATGTCCTGGGGAGTAATTTGCAGTGGCTAATTGTCCTTGGGGTTATTTTTCCGGGGGTGATTGCCCAGGAGATAATTGTCCTCAGACGGATATTGAGCAAAGTCGGTAGTTAATTCCTTTCGAAACCCCTGGTTGAAACCCTGCTACAAAGGTTACATGCCCTTTGGTGTGTAAATGCCGGACAAATTTTGGTCTGGCTGTAAAGCCATTTAGAGATTACTAAGAGAAGAAGAAGAGGAAGAAGAAGAAGAAGGAGAAGAAGAAGAAGAAGAGGAGGAACAAGAACAAGAAGAAGAAAAAGTAAAAGAAGAGCATCAACGAGAAGAAGAAGCAGAAAAACTAAACAAAAAAGAAGAAGTAGAAATTATATACCCAACAGCATATTTACATCCTCGTTTAGACAACATAATACATATTTAACTTACCTGCCATTAGTTGGTGCCGATGGAAATACTTGGCAGAATCAATATGGTCTGTATTTCAACAAAGAAAATACATTTACAAATTATGATACCGATTTTGAAAGCGTTTTACAATGATTTGAAAAAAATTCTTTCACATACCTCATTTGAATTTGATAATTCCTCAAAGTAGAAAGTAAATTGTTACGATGAATATGACGACTGCCTGATTATCAGTTTTAGCTTCGGCACCCCCCCCCCTCCCCCCAAAAAGAATAAAAGAAATACAAGCATTTATCTTTAACAACCCCTTTTTTAATAAAACAAAATCATGAACGTCATAAAACAGAGAGTGACACATTGATAACTTGTTAATATTCAATTATCACTGAGATTTCAGGTAAATTCTAAACCTTATATTTTGTACACGACGTAAACGTTACGGATCTATTCATACACACGTATTATCCGATGCCGTAGCTTAGACCACAGGATATAAGATAAGACAAAGTGGATCAATTTCAACGTATTTGCGATTAAATTATGAAACAAATCTGATTCGCAATCATTTATCACTTACCATATGAATAAAATATGAGTAATCGTAATTGTAATGTGCTTTCAATATTACCATGAATTGGATAAATGAAAACAAAGCTTTTCTGCTGAATCACGTGTCACGTTAGAGCCGCAAGAATGGCTACCTATATAGACGAATGAACTTTGAACTAGGTAAGAATGTATAGCAGAATTTATTTAATCAAATCAAAAGCAACATCTTTAACAGTCTCTCTCTCTCTCTCCCTCGCTCTCTCAAACACGAACACACACACGCACAGAAATTCTTTCGAACTCATGCCTCATTATGCTGATGCGTAAGATGAAGAACCAAAAAAGAAATATCCAATCTGCTTTTCTAAACGTTTTATTCTCATTAAACAGCATGAAGTACACAAACAGATTCATAATTATACATGAACATGGTATTAAGATGTAAAAGAATATGAATCTTTGCATATAAAAAAAAAAAAAAAAAACCTGGCAAATGTTTTCTGGAAATGTATTATGTAGGTAAGCAGATTTTCCGCTCTGAAAGATACAAGTGATTTGAGTTGTATCGTTTGAATTACATTACAAAGGTACTAATATCATCGAGATGCAGGCAAAACACACTTCAAAGTAATATATTATATCATTAATTTACAACATTTTCCACAGTTACCATGCTGACATGTTTGTCATTAAACGATGCACTTTAAGAAATATGACACCACATGGCGCGTATTTATCACTACCTTAGTACAAAATTGATAATAAATAATCGATGAGATACACCTTAATACAATATCATCAACAGTTTACACAAAGATAAACGATAATGTATATCTTTGCCTTCAGCAATGTTAATCAATACACCAAAAAATTTCAATTATACATTTGCATATTTATACTGTTTTTGCATGTTTCCTTTTCTTATGGAACCACCAGGTACGATGTGAATTTTGTTATTAGGTTGGTGTTTATTTAAGGACGCTCTTAAATTTTAAATATGCTTCCAGCATGGTATCGATTTAAAACAATAGTTTATGATATTCACAGCACTGATCGATACATTTTTAAGATAGCATTCGTGCTAGAAAAATGTTGTTAACTTAATAGTCATAATTATCGAATACGTTATCCAATTTGAACAGAAGGAACCACAAACTTAAAAAAGAAAATAATGAGAGGATTTGTTCAATTGCCCTCCTTTAATAATGAGGACATGAGTAATGCCATCATCCTTAAACAAACGAGAGTGTAGATTTTGTCGATGATGAAGGTAAAAAGGGATATATAGTATACAAACGGGTCATGATCATTATAACAATATTATTACTATTATTTATTATGTACTAATATTTATTACATAAACCTTAAGAGATGTTGTACAAGACGAGGCTGTTAGTTTACATCTCATACTAAGTCGTCCGATATCTGTTCCACGAGACCTTCATCAAGATATCATTGATGTAAAGCCACCTTTCTGTGTTCTCCACTTATTCAATTTATCATTAAACGCAGTATTATAATTGAATTGATGATTAGTTATAAGATTCTTAAAGTATGATGCCGATTTCAATGTTTCCTTTTTTCTCTCGATAATATTTCAGCAACGAAATGGGAGTTTTGGTACACATCTTGGATGAAGAAAAACAATAAATCGTGGGCACATGAAGTGAAAAAGATAATCATGACATAATAAGGATAACATGATTTTAAAGAATATGGATAGTAAGTGACAAAATTTTGAAATCACTTACACGTCTGTTCAGCATTATGTTCCTTTGCAAAAAATAGTCAAGATCAAATTCACTTCCTAATTCACACGTTATGAAAGATTACCTTTACATTATTTAAGCTAAATAATCTGTCACTCCGGCACATACCAGATAATGCACAGCTTAACATTAAAAAAGAGACTGTTTTTTTAACATAATGTATAACAATAATGGTAATCCAAAATATAATAATAACGATAGTAGAAATAACAATTATTATTATGATATTAACAATGATAATAGCCACATTTATCTGTACTAAACTGTGTGTAAAGTATCCCTTCTTGGTCCAAGCAGACAGATATAAACATGTATGTATATTGGACATAAAACACCCACACAAACAGTTTACTCGTGAGACAAGACTGATCAAAGAAAGATTGAAAACACACAAATAATTGAAGTGTAAGAAAAATGAATCCTATTAGTCAATGTATAATACATTTACTATGGTATACGTTTATGTAACACTATTGCATCAAAGAATAGAGCATGATCCACCCTTCCTTATTTCTTGAACTGCTACTGATTCCTGCAATGCTTCATGTATTTACTAACTGGAAGGAAATAGATCATCAGCAAGACGAATTTGTCCAGATAGCTCC